CTCTATGCGAAGAAGAATGTAAACAGAGAGTACATATGACGTTTAGCCATCTTGATACCATTTTTAGTAAGAAAAAATCTTTTTGAGTTACTCAGCTAGAAAGAGAACAGGTTAAAATCGTTTTGTGTCAGCCCTACTGTCTTCTCAACTGAGCAAAAGCCTTCAGTAATGGTACCAACATTCATAATCTGGCTTCCATCAAGAACGATCAAAAGAATGGCGAATAAGTTTTAAAAAAAGAGGGAACAGTTGAGAGGAAAACTGGATCAGGAAGTTATAACAGGACGAGGGATCATTATTTCAACTTAAAGCTAAATAGACCAATTAGAAAAGATCCAACTCAGTCCATAAGACGTTTGGCACGTGAGAGAGGAGTTTCAACTACGACAGTCCAAAGAGCACTGAAATCATACGTGAAACGTGTGAGGCATCTAGTTACTCCAAGAGAGAAATTTAGAGTTGAATAAGTTGGAAAATCATCCTGAATAATATATATATATATATATATATATATATATATATATATATATATATATTTGAACTTTATTTCAATCCTTCATGAGATTACGATCCTTAGCTATGATTAATTAATGATGAACATGTCATTTTCGTTTATGATCGATTTCATCCCGATACTTCTGTTAATCTTGGAGAGTAATCATACATTCTTATTGCCCGTAGTAGAGTCCAGTAGTGTTATAAAAACCTCGGAGAATTCCAGTAAAACATGAACAATTTTTGTTGTTACACGATTTGGACAATTTTGCTGTTACACCCGGTATATACATTTCACAAAAAAGTCATCCATGTAAACCAAATTAGCAACATTAAATTACATTTTTAATGCGATAGATGTAAGAATATAAGCTTCTCGCCACCAGCATGGAAGGCACCGACAAGAAGTCTTAGATCCACTCATTTAGTAATTTCCAAACTGTGAAGAAGCTGGACGACAGCGTTGAAACTCCGCTCTACTAAATACAGTGTAACCCGGATATAAGAGAGTTGTCGGGACCGGAGAAGAAGTCTCTTATATCCGTGTTTCTCTTATATCCGGGTTTGGTCTATATGTATACATTAACACAGGCTCTAATTTGGGATCAGAGAAAATCTCTCTTATATCCGGGTTTCTCTTATATCCGGGTCTCTTATATCCGGGTCTCTCATATCCGGGTCTCTTATATCCGGGTTACACTGTATAACGCAAAAATGATTACTTAGTTCTAATAACCCCTCTTACCGACCCCTCTACCATCCTTTTTCTTTCTAACCATCCCTACCGCCCCTTTTTTCTCACCATCTTGATCTTTCGACCGCTCCCCCAAATGTTCTTCCCAATTTGAAAATCCCTTGTCTGAACTAAGTGTTACGATTTTTTGGGTATATACTATACATAACTAGTGAGCGAGTCAAAATGACTTATTTCCCTTTATAGTCGACCAATAGAAGGTTGACCAATCAGAAGCCGCACAACACTGTATCCGTCGTGTATAAAGACGGTCATCTTTGTTTTCCTCCCGGAATGATCAGAGGCAACTTGTCCAGCGAACAGGACAGACGGAAGAACTACGCTCTGCTACGATATTCACTGCGAACCTGCACTACGCTTTCCTACTGTCTCCGAAATATTCACTGCCAACGTCTGGATTCTATACTCGAAGACGACCGTCGTGAAAATGTCTAACACTAAGTTGACAAGTTGCTGAGACATTGTGCTCTATCAGTCACCCATCTAAGTACTGACCAGATTCAACCCTGCTTACCTTCACAAATCTCCGCTACTTCAGCATTTGTCGTAAACTCTCTTTACGAAGCATTGCTTAGTCTGACACAAGGCCATGTGTCACATTCAGTATCTAATGTTTCCAAGTGGTCACCCATCTCGGTACAAATCATATTCGGCACTACTTAACTTCGGCGATTAGACAAGAATCGGTGAGTTCAGCAGGATTGGATCATTATTTAATAAGCTTAGAAGAAGAGAGGTGGGTGAGAAGATTGTGTAGAATCGCTATCCCAGGTAAGGGAACGTTTGCCAGCCTTGGAAATCAGCATTCAATATTGAAACTCTGCTCTACGAAATATGGCGTATAAAAAGAATGATATATAATAAAACACTTTTAAAACATATATATCTTTTGACAAGTATCAAATTAATTTTCGTCTTGGAATTTCACCCGAAATTACCTGAAATTGAGAAAAAAAAAAAACATCTATACCTGAGGATGCCATATGGTTTCCGAAAGTACTTGCCATGTGGACCGAACATCTAATCCATTTTACAATTAATAAAAACAAGGATCGCGTCGTTCAACGAGTGGTTAGTGAGTCAGTGAGTTAATGCCTTATTTAAACTGTTAGCGAAGTGATTTCGCCAATAATTACATTAACTTTATAGATTTATTCTTTGAATAACTACTTCTTTACAATATTAAATAAGCTGCATTATATATATAAGTTTTTTTTTATGTTTATACGTTCTTTTTATAGATACAAATATTTAAGTAAATCCTCTGTTTATAATAAACAGTATTAACAGCATTTACCGGCCTGAATGTCCGAAAAATTTTCATAGAAAATATGCGTCCTCCGATAGGAATCGAACCTGTATCCTATACGGAACCGTCATATAGCCTGAATTGCTTTTACCGATTAAGCCACAGAGGAGCGTTTCGGTTAGCAAGGTCGGTTTTACGAAAATTCTCCATGATTTTCTTTCATACATTCATATCTGCTCGATGCGTATCCAAATGTAAACAAATGACGTCACACATTATGAAATGGACAAATGGACGATAATTATTTTTAACACTTTTTTTTATATTTATGTTTAGAACAAGGTATATATATATATATATATATATATATATATATATATATATATATATATATATATATACCTTGTTCTAATAGCGTCCTGCCATCTTCTACCATCTTCTTTATTCTAACCGCTCCCTTTTTCCTCACTGGCCCTCTGGATCTTTCCACCGACGTAGGTGGACGGTATCGCCAGACAATGAAACGTCCAAATGTGAAGTGTGTCAACATAGGAGATTGAATCGCGATTGATCGAGAACAAAAAACAAGAAGTCCCCCTCCACACAACATTGCAGGAGTTTGCTAAGGGCTTCTAGTATGGGAAATTGCAAAACTATGCCGTAGACACGCTGGATGTCGCCTTTGAAAAGAATGTGTTAGCTCCACAATACGCCTT